ACAGCATCTAGGCTAAGCTTCTGATAACCACAGTGCTAGAGAGGACATCCAAATCAGGCGATAACACTTTAACATTTCTGTTAGAAGAGTCTATTTTCGTTCCTCCAAAGAGAGAGACAGCTTTAAAGTCATCTAACTTGCACAATACTGACAGTAAAGACTACCAGTCAGCTACAAACACAGGTTCCAGCAGAGATAATCTTCAAAGAGCTGGGATAAACTATAGTGATTTTATGGTATTTTGAATCCAAGCAATCTTACTTTTCTGGAAAAGGAGGAAGAACTTGACACCCAGAGAAGATGATGAAATTCCCTTTTCTGTCACACTCTTGCCTCTTCCCAAAGTGCAAGCTGATTTTTCCCAGACTGGTCAATGAATGAAAGGATAATACACGGTGCACTGGCAAAGGCACTCCTCTATCATCAGCAACCATGCCAAGCACAAGACAATAGTTTTCTCTTGCCCCTCATTACAGTCCTCTCCCCTCGGTGTAGCTACCAATTTTCTTTGTGTCAGCTCTAAAAATGATTAATCCCTTCCTGATAATACATGAGTATGGAGAACTTTAATTAGCAGGCTGGTAGGCATTCCATGACCATCCCCCCATCATTTTCAGCATGTATTAAATGGCATTAATTGCAGTAATGTGTGCGTGTGCCAGAGGTCTTCCCCACTATTCCCCTTGCCTCTGAGCTAGAAGGCATTAAGCCTTTGTGGGGCACCTTGCATGTCCTCATGAGCATTGAGCTGGCCAAGATGAGGCTATGGCTGAGGCCAGTTGATGAAGACTGACCAACTAATGTAAAGGGTGCTACAATGCAACAGCAGGGAATTGAACTCCAGGACCCAGAAAAATCTTTGCCAGTTCTGTGTGTTCAAGCAAAAGTCTCTGTGACTTCATAGATTTTTTATGACAGTAAAGACACTGTATCCAACCCTGCTACATGGAGCATCGGGGTGTAAGTTAGCCTGCAACAGAAATGGTTTGCATGAGCTTTCTTCCCCACAAACAACCTCATCAGGACTCAAGTTTCAATAGTGCTGGCAGATTACATTGGGAAGAAAGGCAAGGAGTCATTGAAGACAAGGTGCATCTATTTAAAATGGAAATACTAAACCACTACACACCTAACTACAGTAGTAGTCATTGATAAGGCTTCATGCTTCAGAGGAGAAGGAACTATCACCAAAAAATGGCTTTAGTGCTTTACTGCCTCAGTGTCACTCAGCCTTGCAGCACAGATGTCTGAGACCCACTACAGAAATAGGAACAAATTGCTTTCCACAGCCCAAACTTGCAATTTCTTACCCTTTTCTCTATGCAATTGAAATTTACATCCCATTCCAGATGAGAAAAGATGATCTTCAATTACATTTATGTATAAAGTTACAAAAACCTTCCATCCAGATCTTCTTTCAATTTACCTTAGAAGGAATCAGTGGCAGTGCCTGTGCTGGTTTATAAGAGCAGACAGTTGTATAAGCCCATATTTTATGATGAAAATGACAGTAGGAGTGACCTTGCTCCAGCACATATTGCTTTTTCAACAATGTCTAGAGGAGATAATCTAACAGCAGTCTGCAAAGCATCATGTTTCCTTAGATCCTGCTACAGTAATTCAATTATGAGCATATAAAATTAGATGAAAAAAAAAAGGTAACTAGCCTTCTGGGACTGATTGCAGTAAATGTTGCATCCTGACAGTAGGCATTACCTTGTCCTCCTGAAAGAGAGGTTACCCTTTATTGCAGCATACTTCTTCTTTCACTTGCCTACCCCAGGTAGCACTGCTGTTAAGCATAGTCTGCAGGACAGCAAGAGGCCCTTTAAGACAATTACATGCTGCCTCTAAGGTACCAAATCAGTGGGAAGAAAACTTCCCAACTCTTGATCTTTGGGAGCAAAGAGCAATGCCAGACCCTTCTTGGCTTGGATTTTTGTGGTTGGTTGTTTTGTAAAAGATATGATTCCCCTTTCCTTTACCTTTCATTTAAGCATTGGTTGCTTAATCAACTCTCACAAATCTTGACATCCATATAGAGAAGTTCAGCTGAGCCACAGTTGTGTCTGTGTCTCTAAAGTCAAAGTACTCAAAGCTAGTCAATAAAAAGGGATAGAGTGAAACTGAGGTATGGTGGAGGTTGGTCTCTAAGTGCCAGTGCAGAAATTGTTTTCAAGCCACAAATATCTGCCCATGCATGTGACTTGTGGACAGCTGAGAAAATAATTTTTTTAAAGTTATTACAGGCTTGATTACAGTGAAATCATTTATGCTTATCTACCTTCAAAGATACACATGGGGATGGTATAAAGCCATACACCAGTTTTGTAGCAGTCAGAGCATACAGCAAGACCTGAGCTCTGGGCGCTTTCATACAATGTAAGTGGAGAACAAAGCACCAAACAGTGATAGGTGCTGTCTGGTCATTAACCATGAGTTTTCTCAAGAAGCAGAAGTGGGAATTGCTGTCAGAAGCCCTTGGGTAGCAGATATTTTAAGAAAAACACTTGTCCACTCTGGTGCTCTGATGCTGCTCTACCTGCTCAATCAACAGCAGGAGAATCAGGCTTTCTTTATATACCCTTATGCAAGTAGCTTTTCCATCTGTGTGTTACACGTGCACATGAATAAATAGGGTTTTCTGCTAATCAGGAAAATACCAGAGTGTGACTGCTCACGTACAATAAAAGAACACCCTGATGAAGGGTGGCATAGCCAAGCTCTAGCTAAGCAGCCTGAGCAGCTGTGGAAAAGGAGTTCTCCTATTAGTGCATCCAACTGATTCTCCATCAAACCACAACAGCTCATAGTTGTATGGCCAAAGTCTGAGGGGATGATTACTTTTATCCACAAGACTGCATTTCAGACAGAAAACACATTTCCACCAATTTCACCCACATCGGCTGTAACAGGAAGCAAAGGAAGTTGTCTTTGCTATAAATGTACCCATGGCAGATACCTGAAGTCAGATGGATCCTACATGAAAAGTACCTAAAAGAAGTGTTGCTCCCACAAACTGCTTGAAAACAAAGTTGAAAGACCTCTCACTTTCAGTTGTGTAAATAAGGAATAACTTCACCAAATGCAACGGACTGATATTTGTATAAAAGCATTGCAAATGAAATCCTACCAAGATCTCTGTATTTCTTGTTATATATGTTTTGCAAAAGTATATGAATGGAGACACTGACATTATCTCCATATTTCAAGCTCTGCTGTATTTGTGCTACATTGAGCTTACAGTTTGAGAATTTAGTCCTGTAGAGTGAGAATTCAGAGAGATATATTCAGCAGATGTAAACAGATCTAACTCTAACGGCCCTACAATGGAGGTAGGGTTTACAGCAGCTGAGAATCTGGCTCACAGTTTGTTATGCAAAATCATTATCTTGTGTACTTGGATTAATGTATACACCAATAAAACTCATTAATCCTTCAGGTATCACTGCAGGTTTTTGTTAAATTGGTATATTGTAATCCAAACAGATCACCTCATAACTGTTGATAAGATGCTTTAGAAACCTTAATCTTGTTACTCACAAACGCTTCTAATTACGGTAAAACAATTATCTTGGTGTGAAGGAAATAGACACTACCTCTAGCAGCTACTTACAGCTTTTCTTAGAATGGAAACAAGACAAAAAATATACAGGGATTTTCTTACAAGGAGACAAACTTCATAAACATAATGACATTTACTACAGAGCTGGATGTTTATTGGGAGATTACACTTCTCTGCACACGTCTGCCGTAACTCTAGATTCAGAAATTTACAGGTAGTCTGTTGATTAGTCCATTGTACTGTTAATGCTACTTCTCCATACTACATTGCCAGGTGTTTTTTAGAATGCCTATAAATTTCTCCTTGGGGCAGAACATGTCTTTACAAAGGTCAGTGTCCAGATGTTTTGCTTGGTATTATGTTAGCCACTCTACTTCTCCATTCGATCTTGTTTAGCCTGGTTATTTCCCTTCTGGCCATATCAAATACTTCTCTGTCCTTGCTGTTCACCACAAACAGTTACTGGCACCAGGCAGAGAAGGGGTAGTTGCCAAACAGACTGCTGATGTTCAGCAGAGACTTAGCTCCTCTATGACAGCATATGCTTTTCTTTTACACGTTACATGTTTGTTTTCTCCTGAGCTGTTGAAAATAAGGTGTTTCTTGTTGGCTGGCTGCTTTGCAATACTTGTTTTAGAGAGCGTGCAGCCATTTGAGCAGTTTCGATCACAGTAGATGACAACTGGTGTGCATGCATTGTATGTGCAACGTAGAATAATTGAAAAAAATTAAATTACATCAGATTTTATGTTATGGAGTTCTGCATTTATTCTCAAAGCTGAAGAAAGCTGACTTTTATGACTCCTCTCCTGAAGTGTCTTCTATTCTTAGCTTTTTGGAGACTCTAAGGCATTCTCAACACAGGAAATCATTGTTGGACCTGTATATTACTCCAAATGAAGGTAAATTTATGATGAACAAGCAGTGAAACACTAGATATTCTGTGTTCACATTGTCCATTATGCAGCTTTCTGCAAACTGCCTTTTTTTTGGCAAGCTGCCTTTCCATTGTAACTTCCTTTGAATCCCCCTGTTCACAGTACTGGTATGAGTTGATGCACTTGGAATTCAGCCCCAGTCACCTACAGTTAATCCCACCTTGTTTGTTTATCTCTCAGAAACTTTCTGATGTTTCATGGCCTCTGGGTTTTGCTGTTACTTTAACTGAAGGATACTCTGGAGTGGTTAGAAGAATGTACCTCTATCTTCAATAGTCAGGCACAGAAAAAGGTTGCACAAATCTGCACTCTAGCGAAAAATAAAAATACACATACACACACACACACAAATAATGTTAAGAGGAAAGCTTTAAAAGTCAAGTGACCCAGATATTTATGGCCAGTGTTTCAAAGCTGCCCACAGGAACACAGGATATCAGTGCTGGCTCTACACCCCATCTTCAGGCACAACTGCAAAACGACAAAACCCAACATACCTTCACATGTCAGTAGGAAGTACTCCAGATTGTGACTGAAGGATGCACTGAAATAAGTGCAGTTTTCAATCAGATCACAAGAGAGACACTGCCTGTTGAAGTTTCCATTTGTGCTTGCACTGAAAAATTTAATACAAGTCCATGAAGGTCACTGAGTAAATGTTATCTGGAAGCAACATTACTTGAACCTTACTATACTGTAGAACAAGAACATAAATACAGTGTGTCCAACATTAGCAAGAGACAAAGCATTTCCATTTGGTTGAGTTTAAATACCAGTAATGGCTTTTTTTTTCCCCTCCATGTAGAATATATAAAAGGATACAGATGACTTTTTTTGCAAGGGCAGGTGATTATGAAGGAAGGTGTAGTGTTTAAAAGAAAATTATGATTGCAATTCCACAAGATGAAGTCATAACTCGGTGAACGAAGGCATGCAAGAATGGAGCAGTATTTCCACAGGTACTTATATTATAACAGACAATAAAGAGCTGGAATTGCTTGCTTTAAGTTTCTTACTGGTTGCCTCACTGGTCTGATTTGCTAGCAGCTGTTTCAGAGACCAAAGCCCCTTCTGGGGGCTTACATAGTTGCTCTTATAACATCCAGCTAGAAAAACAAGATTGTACTTGGGGATTTGTTTCTGAAGAAGACTTGTCCTGTCCATATGCTCAGAAATGCTTTGTAAGAGTCTAATATATGCTGAAGAATGAATTTACAGAACGAAATTACAGATTATTAGCAAAGAAGTATTTTGCATTGCCATAGTAGATTGGAACTTCAAAATCCTACAAAAATATGAACTAATAGGTCTTTCCTGTATTACTGTAAAGCAGATGAGTAGTTTTTGTTGCCATTTCAAGGTAGAAAGAGATGAGGCTGACCAACCTGTTTAGGGCCACAGAGACTGAACTGAGGAGCTCTTGGGTTCTTGTTTAAGTTTGGATTGTGTCTCTGACTTAAATCCTATTTAAAGCTACTAAATCAGACACAAAACAGGAAAAAATCCCCAAAGAGTTCTTCATCTGATATAAACTGTCAGAACTCCAGTGGAGCTCTGTCAATGAATGTATGCCAAGGTTGATGCTGAGCTGATAGCCTTGGGCTGGGACAAGAGACAGTCAAAATACCCAGTGCAGGAAATCAAATACCTGAAGTGAGGCCAAGATCATACTGTAATCAAAGTAAGGTCAAGGACATTGGCATTTTGGGCAACTCTTTCCTTGTTGCCTACATGGGGAGGTGAGGTTAATGAAGCACCAGGGTGAGCTGTGTGCCAAGACAAGTGTGGAGTGGGAAGCACTTTGACTGATGCCAGAAGCTCTTGAGCATCTGTGCCTGGACTCAGCTTTCAAAATGAGATTTTTCATCCCATTTCAATAGAAATGAGTGGTCGATACAATTTTTTTTTTTTTTCTGCAAGAAAATAGACACTGAGCTGAGCTACTCTCAAAGAACTGTGGAGGGCAGTGAACAGGCATAAAGGTCTCAAAAGGAAAAAATCATTCAGTTACAGGTAATTTAGTTTTCTCTAGTTTCCTTCCCACTGTGGGAAAAAAGGTATGACACCATATTAGATAAGAAAATAGTACTGTCTGACCCTTATCAACTGATGCTATCTCCATCTCTGTACTTGATTGCAGATGCTGAGAAAACAGCAAAATGATTGAGAAGAAAACCAGGACAAACAAGATAATGATTCAAAAATGATTATTTAAAAGTTTGAGTTTTCTCCCTTTGCAATCTGCTCCCACAATGCTTCACAATAGCTACACTACCAATAGCTTACTACAAACCAGCCTTTTACTCATCATACAATCAGGGAGAATACTAAAGTCATCTAGAATTGCAGAAAAACATTGCAAATATAATGTATTGTTATTTCTTTTCAGTTTTTTGAAGAGGGGAGATGCTATCAAATTTCAATGAAAACTGCTTTCTGGAAGTATAATTACAGTTTATACCATTAGTTTATGTAATTCTGAACTCTTTGAAGTGTTAAGGAGTGCTGTTGAGAAGCTTTGTGACACTTTATCAATCTTGAGACCAATTTAAAATTTGCAATAAAATGAGAAAATTACTAAATGTAAACCATTTCCAAATGCTAAGCATTTTGTTCACTATTGTTATGTTGTTCTGTCTATTCCGGTGACCCACTGCAGGATCTTGCAACATCATTAAAGACAAACACATAAGCAACTGTTTCTATTGCAATTGCTTACGTAATAACTTCTGTAAGATTGGAAAAAATGGGAAATTCTGTATGTGAAGTTAGTAAAGCACATACCTGTATAAATGTCGCCTCCGTGGCAAATCTTCTGTGCTGTGGAAATAACTGGGAGGGTGGAAAACAAAAGATATTTGTATCATTGGAAGAGTATTTACAAGCATCTCATACAGCAAACATTTCATTCACATTGCCATTTTCCTGATCTTGTAAAAGCCAGGGAAGTTTAAATTGACTTAGAAAAACATACAGAAGGACACATCAGTGCAGAGGGTCGATCAAGTACACCACAGGCTGTGCTGCACTTCAAACAAGCATGGAAATGCCTGGGTCCTAGACTGGTCATGTCAGCCAATCAAAAAGGATCAAGTGATTAAGTGAAAGATCTTCACATTTTTACCTCAAGTTTCATGTCTCCAAATTTCCTTTAAACACCTTTAGTTTTTTTGTCTAGAACCAGCTTTCACTTCTCTGACCACCTTTTACTCTTTTCTCAGATCAGTAGCGAACTGAAATCTGATGCAAAACCCACTGAAACTCTCCTTGGAAAAGAGAGTTGGTCCTCCAGGGAAGATCAAGTGTGAAGCTGAAGAATACTTCATTGTCCTTATTTTGTGCTGAGACTGCGGTGAAGTCCTTTTCTGGCTAAACAGTGAAAGTCTTGTTGTGTGGTGAGAGATTCTGAAGGTAACAGAAAGGTGCCACTGCAAGTGGCCCACCTCAGTCCAATGTGCAGTGTCCATTGATCCCTAGATGCATTTCATGTGAATAATGACAGACCACAAAACCAAATCATAAACTCATTTAGGTTGGAAGAGAACTTTAAGATTATCAAGTCCAACTGTTAACCTAACACTGCCAAGTCACCACCAAACCACGTCCCTAAGCTCCGCATCCATACGTTTTTTAAGTACCTCCCGGGATGGTGACTCCCTCACTTCCCTGGGCAGCCTGTTCCAGGGCTTAACAACCCTTTCAGTGAATAAATTTTTCCTAATGTCCAATATAAACCTCCTTTGGTGCAACATGAGGCCATTTCCTCTTGTCCTTTCACTTGTTACTTGGGAGAAGAGACCATCCAACCTGACCTCTCTACAACCTCCTTTAAGTGAGCTGTAGAGAGTGAGAAGGTCTCCCCTCAGCCTCCTTTCCCCCAGGCTAAACAACTCCAGTTCCCTAGGCTACACCTCAGACTTGTGCTCTAGGCCCTTCATCAGCTTCATTGCACTTCTTTGGGCATGCTCCAGCACCTCAACATCCTTCTTGTGGTGAGGGACCCAAAACTGAACTCGGTATTCAAGGTGTGGCCTCACCAGTGCCGAGTACAGAGGACAATCACTGCTCTAGTCCTGCTGGCCACACTATTTCTAATACAAGCCAGGATGCTGTTGGCCTTTTTGGCCACCTGGGCACACTGCTGGCTCATATTCAGATGCTGCTGACTAACACCCCCAGGTCCTTTTCCGCCAGGCAGCTTTCCAGCTACTCTTCCCCAGGCCTGTAGCATTGCCTGGGGCTGGTGTGACCCAAGTGCAGGACTTGGTGCTTGGCCTTGTTGAACCTCATATTGCTGGCCTTGGCCCACTAGTCCAGCCTGTCCAGATCCCTCTGTAGAGCCTTCCTACCCTCAAGCATACCAACACACCCACCTAACATTGTGTCGTCTGCAAACTTACAGTGGGTGCACTCTATCTCCTCATTCAGATCATTAATAAAGATGGTCAAGAGAACTGGCTTCCATACTAAGCCCTGGGGAACACCACTTTTGACTGGCTCTCAACTGGATTTAACTCTATTCCCCACCATTCTTTGGGCCCAGCCATCGAGACAATTTCTTATCCAGTGCAGCTTCCACCCATCCAAGCCATGAGCAGCCAGTCTCTCCAGAAGAATGCTGTGGGAAACAGTGTTGAAAGCTTTACTAAAGTCTAGGTAGATCTTCTGCTGACCACTTGCCTGACTAAGAAGGATATTATCATCAACAGGAAAAACAACAATGAAAGTCCTCCCTCTGCTCTTAGATCATAGACCAACAACCCAAGGTGCCAGGCCACTGGAAGAAGGAATAAGTCAATACATTCACTCACAGCACAGGGTGTACAGAAGGGAGCAAGCTGACACTAGAACCATGCCATGGGAGATGGAAGGACACAGGTATTCAATCCAGTCATCTTGCCCCACCATCCTTGGAGCTCCACTTGTTATGCACAGTCAGAGAGCCCTTCTAATAACCAGAATCCCCACATGCACTGCGTGGGCAGGTCACTCAACCCCACTGCAAGCAGAATCAGCTCTTGTAGAGGTGGCTTCTTGCCCCACCTCCAAGTTAATGTGGAAGGCAGGGGCACCTGGTGGTGATCTCCTAATCAGGTCCCACCAAAGGCTGACCAGACCCTGGGTGAAAACCAATCAGGAGGGTCTTGGTTGTGGGCACCATCCATATGCCAACTCTCATTCAGGGCTGGGGGTCTAACCCCAACACTTCATTAGACAACATCCACAGCCTTTCCCTCATCCACTAAGCAAGTCATCTTGTTATAGAAGGAAATCAGGTTAACCAAGCAGGACCTGCCTTTCATAAACCCATGCAGACTGGGCCTGATCACCTGGTTGTCCTACGTGCCATGTGGTGGCATTCAAGATGGTCTGCTCCATAACCTTCCCTGACACCGAGGTCAGATTGAGAGGCCTGTAGTTCCCCAGATACTTCTTCTGGCCCTTCTCATAGATGGGCAGCACATTTAATAACTTCCAGTCAACTGGAACATCTCCAGTTAGCCAGGACTCCTGTTAAATGATTGAAGTGGCTTGGTGAGCACATCTGTAAGTTCCCTCCGTATCCTTGGCCCCCATAGACTGGTGTGAGTTTAATTGGTGTAGTAGGTCACTAGACATTTCCTCTTGGCTTATGGAGACTTCATTCTGCTCCTTGTCCCTGTTTTCCAGCTCAGGGGGCTGGGCACTCAGAGGACAACTGGTCTTACTATTAAAGACTGAGGCAAAGAAGGCATTCAGTGCCTCAGCCTTTTCCTCATCTTTGGTCACTGTATTACTCGCTGCATCCAACAGAGGATGAAGATTCTCCTTAGCCCTCCTTCTGCTGTTAATGTAGCTACAGAAACATTTTTTCTTGTCTCTTATGGCAGTATCCAGATTAAGTTCTAGTTGGCCTTTCTAATTTTCTTCCTGCACAGCCTCATGGAATCTTTGTAATCTTCCCGAGTGGCCTGCTCCTTCTTCCATAGCCCATAGACTTTCCTCTTCTTCCTGAGTTCCAGCCAAAACTCTCTCCAGACTGATCTTCTTCCCCACTGGTTCATCCTATGGCCTGCTCTTGTGCCTAGGGTAGTGTCCGTGGGGTGAATAACATGCCAGGCAGGATATGCAACCTGCCAATCTGCTTCCATTAAGCTGCATTTCCCTAGGTTTTGATCAAACAAACTGTACGTGGTATTTTCTGCTTGACTGGCCAGTTAAAATGCAAGTAAGACTTTGGGGCTGGTTTGCCATTTAACTCTGCCAAGTGCTACAGACCCCTATACTGTACTGAAGTTATTGGTAATTGAGGGAGTACAAAACCTTAAAGGAGCATCTTAATGCTTTTATTGATCATTCAAAGTTTATCATATTCCAGAGATGTTTACTCAGCTGCTCAGTGACCTTCAGAAACTGAGAGGTGAGAGCCTTGTACCTACCTGAAGCTTTACCTGGAAAGTATTCCACCTGGTATTTGATACCAAAAAGCCTTCCAAATAATTTCTTATGTAATTTCTTGACATTTATTTTTAAATGTAAATATTTACAGTAGTTATTTAACAAGCATAAATGGCAAGTGTGAAGAAGGGTGTTTTTTTTTGTATTCTAACTAAATACTCCTTTTTTTTTTTTTTTTAATCATTGATACTTTTGCAGGTCAACAAAGGGTTCCTTCTAAAACTGTCTAGGTGGTCACTGAAAATAGACTTATCTTCTTCAGAGCTTACTGCCAGAAGTTGCAGCAGGAGAAATTACTCCTCTACACAAACGTATTTAATAGTCACAGAAAGAGAGGTTTGAACTATACAGAGAAAATCAAAGACAAGCTACATGTAATGTTGTGAGAGGCTAAGCCAAAATGCAGACAGCATCTCCTGCTCTCTTATCTCCATCTCCTTATGCTCATACATTTCAGATGCATGCACAACGCCATTGTAACTAACCCTACAGTCCAAAGCTAAACAAAGGAAGCCTGACTTGTCAGACCATAGTTTACTTACATTTTATGCCTCTTTTCATCATATGCCAATATCTTTGTCACATCCCAATCACCAGATGTAATAGACTGCAAGTTGTCACTGCTACTATTGGGCTGCAGGAAAGAAAAGAGCATTAGTTTTCTTTATTCTTAAAAGAAGATATCTGAGCAAAGCTTCTCTTCTGAAAAAAAGAAGTTCTTTTGACTCCATTGCCTATTAAAAATAAACCATGCATCTGCAATTTCTACCCCTCCCCCTGCTATTTCTGTGAAACTGCAGGCATAGAAATAATAGAGTCAAAATCATCTTAACCATAACTCTACTGAAGATAATGGGATGAATTCAGCACAGAAGAGCTTCAATCCCTTTCCTCTAATCCAGCATGCTCACAAGCTCCTGATTAATCCTTTATGACAGTGGAGGGATTTACTAATTTACGTACAACTAAGAAGGTACTACAAAATCAAAACAAAGCACTGATATCATTTACAAAGTGACAGTTGGTTGACCCTTCTCTTCTAAGTATCTAATTTGGAAATTTGTGCTATCTTATGCCAAATAAAGTATTATTGAGCGTTTTCTTTCATGCACAAGACCAACTTCCTACATTTGCACCTTCCAGTCAAGCACAGATACTACTTTTTCTTGCTTTTCAGGTGAGACCCAAAGCAGTGGCAGGGAGTGAGTCACCTGTGATGATGACATGGCGATGTGGTAGAACTTCCCACGTCCTCCCTGGGGAATGGCTCGGACAAAGAAAAACTTCCGACCATCCTTGGAAAAAATTGGCTCTTCATTCTGTAAGCAGAAAATTTAAGGGTTGTATTATGGTTAATTTATTGGATTTAAAATTGCTCTCCGCTGCAAAAGTCTGTGAAATTAATTCATAATGAAATAGAGTCCTTTTTAACAGCAACGCAAGGCAAACAAAAAGCCCACTGAAAACTGGAGAATGTTTTGAAGATCGTTGCTTCTTGCTCTTGGGAAAGCAGACACACTTCAGCTGTGGAAAGACAGGGAGACAAGCAGCAAGGAGAGCTCTTTGGCTATAAAGCCAATTCCCATTTGCAAAGTAAAAAGTACAAATATACAGCCGACTGCTTGGGGCAGTTGGAATAAAGCCTTTAAAAATGGTTTGAACCTTGCTGTCACAAGTATGACAAAGCCCATTTACTCTGCCTGGAGAACTGATCTATTCCTGTCCTCGAGGAAACACAACTAACAGCATCTAACTGCTGTCTTTTCCTGCTCTCTTACAAATGCTTATGTCACTGAATTATTTACAAAGGGGAGGATATCATGCAAAGCTGTCTTTGACACAGAACTCCCAGGTGAATGTGATGATTGACTTTTATTGGGTGACTAGAAATTTCAACCAGAGACAGAAGAGACTCAGGAGCAGGAAATCAAATACCACATATGGCAAACAAGCATTTCCTGGAAGGGTCTTTGTCTTCTTTTTGTACGGGAACCTCAAGGCACATGGGAAGTTTCCACGGCAGGAGATGACTGAACAGCAGATTACAAGGGAAAGCAGAAGGATTGTCCATATGGTGTGACACAGTAGCACTGTACCAAGGGAACTGGCTAGATGAAGCTCCTCTACTCTCAATCTTGAATAGCTGGGACTAAAACAAGAGCTGCACCTCTGCAGAAGCTCTCCTGTGATACCAGGCTTTTCTAGGGACTGGCTGAGCCCTGCCTCCTCTTGCCCAGTTTAATGGATCCTTTTTCTTCAGGGGTAGTCAACAGGGAAACTGTTGCTCAGCCTTTTCTGGGTCCTCCTTTGGTTCAGTGTTAAACACCCCAGATTTCTGCTTGGCACATGTCAAGATACCACACTGAACCAGCAAGAACTTGATTGTACAGGAAGATTTATGGCTAAGGTAAACACCTACACAAAAGAAATAAACATTTTTATTTCTCATAAGCTAACACATTATTCTTACTGTACATTCCTTTGCTCCCAGTTCTTTACTGATTAATTCTTTTTCATTATTTATCAGATTTATCAACACTGTACTAGGTGTTCAAATGGTTTGTTTTTTCTTTTATTTTCCCCTGCTTATGTGTTCGATATATTTTAAAATAGGCTCATTTACAGCTTGTTGCAGCTCTATGAAATAATGGTTTCATTTGCTTCTGACATTGTTCTGGAACCTGAAACACAAAACCGTATTATTTCCAAATGTCTTTCATGACAGGAGAAACCTCACTGAAAAACAACTGTGATAACTTGGGCAAACCTTCTGCTTGACAGGTTTTCCTTTGCTGAGGTAAATACCAATGAGTTCACCCTACATTTCTATATCTGTGCCTGCTGCATTACATGTTCTAGCAATATGTCTCTGCCAGCGAAAGCAGGCATTGTGCAGATTAGTTTGAGGTTCACTCAGAGTTACAGAAGAAGGAGGTACAGGGCATGGATGACAGATGTGAGGCTTTAGTACTCAGCTGATGTTATGAGACAGCCTGTTTGGATGTTCCTCTTGCTGGAAAGATAACACATCAATGCAACCAGAACTTTGTTCAGGATCTTGGTAGATATGGTGACTTATGGGTGGGAGTTGGGGGGACATGAGGCTGAAAATCTTTTGGAACAGGATTTTATACTACAGGGAGCTACCCCGGGAACATAATTAAAATATTCTGCATGTGATATAAACAGCTTGCACCTTTGGTTTACTATTATTGGCTGAATTCCACAACACTAAACCAGAAGAGCCCTCCTGGAAAATGATATTCCAGCAGCCTATTTATTACTGTGTATCAAAATAATGCCACCAAAGATTTCAGTTTTGATGGAAGAGATGAGGTGGTGGGAGGCTGCTGGAGGGCACTTGACTCCTACAGGGATCAGTGCTGGAGTTCAGAGTTGTGCAACACAGGTCAGTGCATCTGTCGATGCTCAGAAGAAACGAAGGAGTGCCTCAGAGGCTTATCCAAAGTTTGGCAGAATGAGAATGAATGAGAGGACACTGCTAAATGCAGTCTGAGCTTCTGTAGGTCTTACAGAGGGCCATGAAGTCCTGGAGTAAAAAATAACAATAAAAAGGTAGAGCATATTTGGTTGCATTTGGAGAAGGATCACTGAATATCACTGCAGCCACCTGAAGAAGACTTCTTCTTTCTTGGCAAGGTGCATGCTTGATGTAGTGTCTCTGACCTGGAGGATTTGGGACAAATATTTGAAAGAGAAATTACCCACTTTAGGTTGCGTTGGAGTGTGTGAAAGCCATGTGGACTCAAAGTACAGCAGCACCAAACCCACCCACACATTAACATGGGTCAAACACTCCCCGTACTGCAGCACCACAGCTTGCAGCTCCAAACTGGTCTGTCCATGCTCACACAATGCAACACACTCCCTGACTCCTACTCTCCTAGAACACAGTGCTTCACATGCTTTTGGCTGAGCTCCATGCATTTCCTCACAGAAATCAGTGAGAAAGCACATTCTTTGAAATTTGGCTTTATTAATGACCAACAATTATAATTCCATGATAATTATGGGTTTTTTTGTTCATACTTAAGTTTTAAAAAGGAAAACAATTTGAATAACCTAATTCTTTCCAACTGATCCTCTGATGCATTTTCCCTTCCTCAGCCCAGTCTTCTGCCCTGTCTGTCTGATTCACCTCTGCACAGATCCCAGAATTCATGATTTTGCTCTCTAGGTATTTATTCTTTCAGGGAAACATCCCAGTGCTTTATGTGTCACAGGGTCATAGCTCTGATAAACTGCTAGGTGTGACATGAATCCTTTTAACCCTCTGCATTTTGGTAAACACTTCATTGAAATCCAATAAAGTATTAAAAATGCTCATTTATTTTACTGTAACAATGAAACACCAGGGTAACTGGAGGACTGGAAAGAAAAATGCAGCCCAAAGGAACTGTTATCAGAGGTGGCCAGCCAGCCCACACAAGCAATTTTGGAGGTTATATCTCTAAACAATTTTGTGGTAATGTCCTGGTCCTGCCAATGTCAATGTCAGAGACTACAGCCTTTAGTGGAGTTGGAATTGCACCCTGGTTTATAATTAAATTTGTTCAGGCCACATTCAAAATTAAATAAATAAACCAATTAAAATGCAAGTAAAGTTTATCTTCAGCAGGTGCTCAGAAATTCTCTTATTTCTCCCATGCTGACTCATTCTCTGTATATGACCATCACTGGCACTACTGGAAAATTACTTCTTCATAAAAATTGAAACAAAATTGTTTTCAGCAAGAATTACTTTTGCAAAGATTTTGTATGTTTAAGTAAATGTATGAGCAAAGTTCAGTCTGGCTTTTATGCTCAGAAGTGCACAAGCAAGTATACGAAAAAAAGCACTACAAACTTCTAAAGGCCCCAGGCAGTTTTGGTGAACATGTGCCCGTTCTTATTTTTGCAAAAGGTTTGAAATCACTGTCCGTGTCATCTGACGAGGAGTGACAGATACTTTCTAGCAAAACCTGTTTAAATACTGTGTATTTCTCATTATACTTTGAGTAATTTACCCTGTTTTCTGCTGCACAGACAGTGACAGTCTTATCTCTCTTTGCCTGTGCTGGAGAGAGGCTCTCAAAAGATTTTGGACTTCAATAAAATTAATTCATGAACCTAAGTCCATAAGGGAACACAAGATCATTTCCTATGACCTTCCACGCACACACTATTAAATGTCACTGAGTTACCAAACTACTACTGCAACAACAAAAAATTCAAACTTGTAGGTCATATGCCATATCTCAGAACGCCCAGTATTTCAGATAGCTGGAACAGGTCAAACCTGTCATCCCTGGAGACTCACTGACATCCCTGGTGAGTACCTTCTGATACTGATATTTTTCTCTCCTTGTCTCCTGCTCCCAGCCCTGTTTTTTGAAGTTTTCCCCTATTCCAGGAAGACCAGAAGCACTCAGATTCCCAAGAAGGTAAAGCTCCCATGTGCTTTTCAAACCAGACGTATGGAGCACTTTGAAGGAGTATTTTAAAGAACGAGACAAGCAGTTAGATTCCTTAGTCCCACTGATTTAAAATTGGGGTACTTCTCAAAGAGGACGTGTGGATAATGGAGCACACAGAACAACCTGGCCAACCAGGCAGTGGCTATCTTGCTGTCTTCTTCAGGGTGAGCTGAATCATGCTCAAGCACCGTGTGACCACACTGCTCACTATACCTGCTCTCCACAGAAGGGGATTGGGCACTTGGCTCACATGCTATGTTAAAATGTCTCAACCAAGGAGTCTTCATCCTAATCTGAGTCATACTCCTGAGCTCCTTCAGTAGCTGCCTAATGTGAGTTCATCTCCTTAAACAGGTTAAGAGACATGCACTAGCATTTAACATTTTCATATCGTTATAATAGTCAGACAATAACTGACTTGTTATTATATAACATAAATATGTTATGGAAATAATTTTCCAGTTACCTAGATCAATGTCTCATAGAGCAAATGATAAATATAGAAAATATGATTATCCTAGTAAACATACATTCCATTAAAATCAGAATTTTATGTAGTTTTGTTGTCAGAAATACAGGCAAAAGAGCTTTATAATCCTTCAGACTCTTAAAAAAAAGCTTTTGAAGGGTACTATTAAAATGTCTCCAAGGTCCACAGTGAATCTTAGTTTAGTACTGAGGTGTCTGACTCATTTGGCTGTAATGAGCTTCCTTCTCTAACCTCAAACTAAGTATATGATGTTTGGAGACGCAGTAAAGCAAACTATGTTCCCCTGGAGCAGGCCTGTTAGAGACTGTCAGATCCTTACTGCAGTTATTCAGCACAAAGCACCATCTTCTGATGTCTGTCCATATAGTAGATAAATGACTAAAGAACCACAGCAGTGTAAAATCAGAAGTTCTACTATAATGCATTAATGGAGATCCCAGTAAATCACAGCAAACGGATTAAAACTATTCTTGGTTTTATAAAATAAATGAACTCTGTGAAGTATCTTTTTTTTTTTTTTAAGAGAAGCAAGATATGAGCAATTTAATTTTCTCTTGACCTTGCATTGTCTTTGAAGCTTCTGTTTCCTACTCAAGCCAACACTGTTCTTATGAATGTGAAGAATACTTCAGCGGCACTTTTACTCTATACCTGAGTATACCAGTAAAAGATTAGTTTAGATGCTTGGAGCACAAAATCTATTTCCTCTGTAAAATAATTTTTTATCTGGATCAGACAGCCCAATGCTGTAGGACAGCCACTGGAACAGAGATCATTGTTCTTGCTGTGAACTGATCTACTGCAGGTTCTACAGGTTCTTGGATCCTCTGAGCAAGCTGTGACAAAAATGTGAATTGCTTTAAATCTGGGCCTGGAAAAACATAGTAAAAGATCTTTATCTAACATGCTACTCCCTGTCTGGAGTTCACATATCCTATGAAAATCAGTTCAGTGTTGAGGCTGACTTGGGATCGGCAGCTTCTCTCGAAAGAACAGCTTAATTAAATCTGAGGTCACCGCACAAACTGGCTGCTGGGGAACAGTTATAAATGATCTTCCAGAGATTCACATGCTGGATATGTAGAGGTTTTATATAGAGACATGCTGAAAAAAAGAACCCTTGCCTGTTTGGTGTGTTATCTTGTTTTTTGTTTTTTGTTTTTTGTTTTTTTTCTCCCCTTCCCCCCCAGGGTTTATTTTCATCTTTTATTTCATTTGGTGGATGGAAGCACACAGCCATACAATGTAACAGTATTACACACAATTTACTGTGTCAGAAGAATTACGTGACACAGTTGTCTGTTAAAACAGACTATTAAATAGGTCGTCTCTCCCCATTCAGTGCTCCATGTAAGCTCTCAATTTTAATTGCCTCATCAACACTTTAGTTTTATTATTCACCCTTCTTACATGTGCCAATAGCTACAGAGTAACATAGAGAATTTCATCAATTTAGCTTAAATGAGTTAAAAGGCCCATCTGCATGATTTTGTTTCTAAATGGATATCGGCACTTTAAATAAAATTACCTTTGATCTTTTGTTTTCACCAGTGGACTTACTTCCTGTCTCAAAGACCAGAAAACAACCAACGTACTGCTTAAAATCATCATCAGTCTCAAAGTGTGAAGGACTACCTCTGAGGTAGATGAGCCTCACACAGATACTGTCAGTGGATGAATTTCCACCAGCATCAGCTTTTCATCACTTTTACATCCAAGTAAATTGCAGGCTATGAAACGTGGGACCTACCACAGAAGATGGCATCTTCAATAAGAACAACTTGTTTATTACTGGGAAAGTATTTTCCATAATACAAACCACGTCACCCTCCAAGTATCTTCCTCAGGTCTGGCAATGAGTTTTTCTCTTTGGGGGAAAACAAAGAAAGGAAAAAAAATCTACCAAAACTTGACCACGAAGAGGTGATCTCTATTACCTGTCTGTGCAGCCAGCCTTCACTTTCATCTTCATGTTTCTAAAACAAACAAACAAAAACTATTAAATACTATACTTCACGTGTAGTGAAAGATTCTGGACTGTGCTCTATGCACAATATTGTACCAGTTTTTCAAGGGACAGATATATCAGAATACTTTTCCACTGTAAAAACACCTATGCCAGTTTGAATGATAATATCTGCTAACACACAGGTTATGTCAATATGACATTTACATTAGTATGTCTATAGGAGGTATTACTTAACCACAATGAAACTGTGGGTAGACAAGCATAAACCATTCTGAGTGCCATTAAATATATATACTGACATTAAACTAGAACGTTGCAAAAATATTGCAAACATTGTTCATGTTCTGTGACTGCCCAAATAAACGTGTTCCAGCTGATTTGTTGCCAGGTGAGGTAAGTGAAATACCTTCTCCTTGCGTGGGTTATGAAAACTGATGGCAAGAGACCATTTGGCTCATCTCTCCTACCTTTGTGCACACTCCTGTGGTGGCATCACAGAGCGTGAGGATAGACACGTTCTGGGCCCTGTTCAGCCAGTTTACTGCCACCTTGGTGCTGGTTGCCCATTTCACCATGGTGATGTAGTAGTCCCTGCAAACACAGACATAGATAAAACATCTCACAGTACTGACATCCTAATGAATTGCCACATGGCAGAGCAGTTGGAGGCTGCTGCAGGCAAATGGTCCAGGAGAGATCTCTGGTTACTAAGAACACTGCATCTTGATGGCTCCAGGCTTCCTTATGTACTGATTTCAAACCCCCAAAATGACATTTTTAGGGCTGTGCAGGTGTTTTATCTGGCACTTCTGAAAGTCATTTTTAAAGAGACGAATGTAGAGATAAAGAATCTTTCAAGCTATTTGGTTTTACAAGAAGAACCAAAATGCCTGGAGCTACAAATCTATGCACAGGTGGAAAAGAACTGCAAACAATTTCCATTCTGAGCACACTAACCAGCTGACTCAGACCTATCACTGCCAATGGTGGATCCTTTATGCTCATGAAGAGTTTATGGCCTCTAAATATGCCTACTACACCCCAAAATATCCACAAATGTTGCATTAAAAGGAAAATAGCAAGCAAGAGACACAGGCTTCTGTAGAGCAGATGCAGTTGGTTGCCACAAAACCAAAAGAAAGCAGTAGAGATGTGATAGTTTGCATCAGCAAAACCATCATCCCACACTCCCTGTACCATCCTCTAATGCTGGAAATAGTCAGGTTGTGATAATACTTGGAGTAAATCACCAATGTGGGCTGCACCAGCCTGTAATTGGCATCTTCAGGTAAAGTCCTGTGCAATAGTAAACAATGGAACCACTCAGACCGGGCTGGAGAATTCAGGATCAGAAATAAACAAAGCAGTGGCTGGCATTTCAGAGCCAGTCTGTGGTGGCACTCACAGATGTCCACCTCTGCAGCAATTCAGGGCTTCACCACTTTATCTGCAGGGTAAACCTGGCTGAGCTGACAAATCTGATGATGTTGCAATATGGGCTACGCAGGCCAAAGACATCCTTAAGTTATAATATGACTTTTCACAGCACACACTCTATAAAAAATGCATTAGCTCATTTGTTTGCTATAAAATATGCATAAGGAATTGTTGCTTTCATTGGAGTTAATGTGCTGCGTCACTGGAGAGTACTTTGTGTTCTGGCAAGCGCTCCCACATATACTGAAGAGAAAGGGCAAAAGCAACAAAGACCTGTTTGTCTGGCAAAATAACAAGTTGGAAATTGATTTTGTCGTTTTCAGTAATATTTAGTGCCTGGATTTGGCTGGGGAAAAATAACAAAAGACCTTAATGATTGCATCCACCTCACTGGAGAAAGGATGCTTCCAGGTGAGACAACAGCAGTCTGAAAATTCAGTGCCTGAAATAAAATTGTAATTTTACTCTTTATCAGCAACAGCATAGGCCCTAAGAGGCAAAGAAAACCTAACAAAGTAAAATTAAACTGTGTAGCCATCTCTTCTTTCTCTCCAAAATTAACTGAGCAGATTCAGTCTCCCCAGAAAAGGAATGTGAATTTAGTACATATTGTGGCTTGGAGCATTTTTTCCCTAAATCAAATTTAAAGTTTGATGGACATATATTTAATTTTTACATCCCTCTTGCCATTAGAATGCAGGAGCCGCAGTTCTTTCTTGGGAACTTTTAATTATTATTTTAGGTCAAGCCTTATCTTCCCTACCACCCCAGAGATGGGCATGGAGTCTCCATTTCTCCCTGAAGCCTCTCCAAGCCATCAAGCCCAGAGATACCCCAGTCAGACAACTGAAGACACTTGTATAGTTGTTATTCTAGTCTCAGACTAGTATGGAGTCTTTAATTTACCTCACATCTTTTCTGTAGGACAACCAAGTTTTATGTTTCCCATTTTGCAGAGAAAAATTAGACAGCAAGGTGTGATCCATCTCAGTTAATTTTAAACATCTTGTAGCTCTGGCAGCTGCACTAGTTGAGCAGCCAGTGGAGAGAAATGGGGAGTCAGTGCATCTCCCAAGCTCTCTTTTCCTGACCTGTCCCAGATTTTATACAGAGCTGATTTAAGAACCTGTTTCTTCCCATAGAGTGAAGTCTAACCAGCAGGTATCCAACCACTTCGTTTGTAGACATCCACATCAGAGCAGGTTACACTGTCCCAAATGAAAGGAATAACCTGACTGAGCCCCTTCAGGAAAGGTGCAGCTATGCTGAGCTCTGCAATGCCTTTCCCCATACTGGTACAGACCTTGGTGCTTGGGTCTGCAGTCACCTGAGACTGGTTATTGTGCAGCACCTCTGTCATACTCTAACTTGACTCAGCTGCTCTCTGGAGGTATGAATCTATAACATGAGGTATGCCTCCACAATATGAATACTTGAAGTATGACAACAGTAACAAAGCCACAAACACCACAAAGAACATAGTATGTGGCCAGGTGACAGGCAGCAGCCCAGCCCCTGGTCCCTGGGGCACGGCCAGCTTCTGCCTCTAATCCAAGCTTGACTTGTCCGAGTTTCTCCATAATAATGTTTGTTCATGACCTAGTGATGGTTTCTGCACTCAGGGGAGATAATATCTTTGTTTAATTTGTCACCTAGGATACAAATCTGATGTGACATATAAGTTGGATCATGGTCCAGTTCTGACCACCTGCTGATGTAACTCTTGGGGTCCAATGGTTTCCACATAAAAAAAATGCCCATCAGGCATTAAATGATGCAATACTTTAACCCCCCTGCAATTTCTACTGCTTCCCTACGCGCCTTTTCTCACAGAAAATCATGGCATTGGAGAAAATTTGGCAAAAAATCTCAGAAGAAAAGATTTTTTAAAAGGAAAAAAGTCAAAATTGCGCATTTTCTTCCCAAATACATTTTTTTTTAACTGAAAAATACCCCAATTCTGTGCAAAACTTCTTTCTTTAATTCTGAAAGAAAAAAAAACCCAAGCATATATCCACTTTATTCTCATCTTTATTAATTGTACTAAAACACTTTGATCCAGACAAAAAGAACACCAAGAAATACCACTCTGCCCATAGATCATCTGCATGAACAGATTGAGCACACTGAAATGCTTCAGACAGGATGGCTCTGCCTGAAGATCCTTATCACCAGCTTCCTCTACTTCTTCAAAACTTCCTTCTGTAACTAACTGTACAGTACATCCCTCTTGTCTATTTTAATGAAATGGTATCACACTAATCCTCTCATTTCAGAAAACATATGCATAATGAAAATGCCCCCCTACTGCTCCAGCAGCACTGCTTCTGCCAGGCCCTAGGGATGGCAATTGCCACGGCTTTGATGAAACACACATGGACTGATTAATTATGAAATATTTTGCATCATTGTACAATATCGATTGCAACCAAATAAATTACAGCCACCCATTACCATATAGGATAAATTTATTAACAACACTTGGATCTTACAGTCTGAAGTTATTGCTATAATTAAAACATGTCAGAGTCTCTCTGTTTACAGAGCATGCTAGCAACAGAAAAAATTATATTGTCCAGGAGCCAGGGTTCTGATCCTGTGATTATGATCCTGTGATTAGGATCCTGTGACTGGGATACCGTGATCCTGAACTGCTGCCTGCTCTAGACAGATGTTAAGATATTCAAGGGCAAGTGCATTGATGCCCATTTGGTTTGGTCATAGCTTGTACATCTTTTGTTGCACAAATGGATTTGGAGCATTTTATAGCTATTCAGTGAAAACATGTTCTGAGGCTGACACTAGCTTTCCTAGCAAAGAAATGCAATTCCCACCATAAATGATGCCACTGCTTTAGTGTCCTCTCATCAGATGACTACACTGCCTATCCAAAGGCATTATGTATTTACCATACATAACAAAGATCACTCCTGCAGTCTCCCCTGCCCTATACACTGCCCTGTGTCACCAGCTCTGTGCTGTACCTCTGTCTTTATTGGCACTGAAATTACAGATCCAGCAATCTAATTTAACAACCAGTAAAAGAAGGTGAGCATGCATGTTGGTTGGATGCTCCTACATGAACAAGTGATGTGCTTGGGAAGGACAACCTTGCAGCATTACATTTGGAGGGGTCATTACAGATACTTTAGATGTAGAAGCAAAGCCTGATTTCTCTTGGCCTCCAATAAAGCTATTTCAGGTTTAAATCAAAGTTACTGAAATCGGGATTTGGATTCCAGTTGCCAAGCTATGCAGGGAGGAGTGCCACACATTACCTAAAGCTGCTTCTCTCCTGAACAACATCATCTTTTTTGCAATTGTTCACAGACCCATAAACTTAGCTCAAGATTTCACCACATGCTGAAGTCCAAGCCAAACTTCTAAACTCTTGCTGAATGCAGATTTAAGCACTCACTTAATTAGAAATGGGTGTCTAAGTAGTTCACTGAACTGCAAGCCAACTCCTAAAATACACTTGCCCTAAAAACAGCAAAGAGCTTTCCTTTTTATTTTTAATGAAGATTGGACAATGTATTTGTAGAATGTATGCCTGGTTTCATTTCTGTGTTCACATCATGAAACAGTAGCCTCATGTTTGCTCTGTTATAGAGCTGCCCTCTTTCTGTTTCATGGTCTTTTATACAGGCTGCAGACAATATCCCTGCTACAGTGCCTGTGATTACAGGCAAAATTAATGTGTTGTCATGGTTTTGGGAACATTCTGACAAGTTCTTTAAAAAAAACCTTATTATGAAGTCAGTCTGTGTCACAGTGATTTCAAGCAAAAAACCAATAATGTTGTACATGTAAGAAGAAAAATAATTCAAAAATTTAAGCAGTTCTACACAAAATGAAGTCTTTGATAGTGGCGCAGAAAGGTACTGTAAAATGATTGTGAAAAAACAGTCAGAGTCTGATTTAAAACCCCAACAGAACCAGGGTACAGCATCCTAGGGTGAGAAAGCACCTACCTCATTCTCTGATCATCTGGGGGAGTCATTTCCAGGTCATGGGTAGGTCCATTCAGACCAATCACATGCAAAGAAATAGTTGGATTTTCCATTCCAGCCTGGATTTTAAAATAAGAGTAAATTACCATATCATATACAACACTTTTTTGATTTCTTACATCCCCACAGGTTATAAAATGCATTTCCACTGTCTGGAAATAATTTCAGACTGGACTGCTGTGGTTGCTACAGGGACACTGCAACTGTAGCGACGTGGCACAGAGCTGTGGAAAGGTCAGCAGGCACAGCCAAGGGGTAGTTCTACTTAGAACACCTCTAGCCTTGGTAAAAATTGCTACTTTTCATGGCAACTAGAAATATTGTTATTTTATGGATCTTTTGATAAACAGTTGTCTAACAGGATGATGGCACAGGTAATACAACTAGAGAGTAATGAAGACCACACTCACTGGGGAACAGCTGATCTTCCCTTAGATCTCTTTATTTTCATTGCTTACAAATGTGTATTATTATACAGTCTCCTGCCTGAGCCTACTGGATTTTTTTAAAACTTGTTTTTTATTATTATTTTGGCTAGAACAACAGGACTGTTTATTTTCCCTTACCTTTGGATAATGATACGTTTTAACAGTAGGGTAAGGGTTGCCAGCGTATACCGGGATCTCCATGATGGGGACTCTGGAGGCATTAATTGTTGCATATGCTAACCTGGTGCCATCAGGAGACCACCAATGAGCAATGTGAGTCTTCAAGATCTCCTCTCGTTAAAAACAAAAACAAAACCAAAAACACACACACAGAAAAAAAAAAAAAAAAAAGGCTATTAGGTGTAAATTACTAGTTAGCAATAAATGAAACAGCATAGATATGAAAATCCCAGTTTAATCACAGCACAGGGAGGATGCCACAGGAATAGCAATTAAAAATACTCATTAAATTACACCATATACACAAATGAACACAATTGATAACATTTACTCTGAATATATAGGTTATTAAGCATAATTATCTTTCTCAAGAAATATCAAATTACTCATATCAGTACACATATTCATGACAGCTTAGAAAGCCCTGCTACTCCCACCACGTGTTCTGTACATGGATATGTGAGTATATACATGCTTGTGTTGGCAGAGCTCGGGTTCCTACCTGCCCAATAACTGAGGCTCCCTCGGGGCTAACGGACAACTGCAGTGACTGAGCTTTAGTTCTCCTCCATGAAGAGTTCACAAAGTCACACTAGACACATATCAATGTACTCAAACAGCATTTATACTCAGAGACTTTACCATTGAATTTTGCGATTACAAATTTTTTAGTGATTTGAATACTGCAGCTGCTATTAAAAAATACTCAGAAACATGCTGATGCAGAGTTCAAGTATGTAATGAGAAAACAATATTGTCACCGTAAGAAATTATTTTGAAGACTGTCAGGACCTAATTCTCATTAAACACAAATTCAAAGAACATTTAATTTCCAATACTTTTTTCTTATCCTTTAATATCCTTCATTGCAAAGATGACTTCAGCTTATGGATATCCAGGAAAGCTATAAAATTCACTCTCTGTCCAAAGTGTCTCCAGTTACTGACATTTGGAAGACTCTAACTTGGCTTTTTAAACCTCCCATTTTGCAAAAGGCAATAATGTAATCCATTTTCATTAAGAGGCTGAATATCATATGAGTCATTCCTATTTAAACCCTAGCAGAAGGGCTTGCATATGCTGTACAGATTGATGGGCAGGAAGACAGGTCCCATTACTTTAATGTGAGAACAAGAATTAAAGAAGCTGCAGAGTGTTCCTAGGCCTGAAGTCCTACTACACAATTTCAAGCAGCTCCAATAGCTCTGCTATTTTTTCTGATCATCTCAAAAAAGAATGAGGCTTTTCAGAGTTCAGAACCATGTTTGCACACCACCCTAGAATGACCCCTTCATCCAACCAGAATGTCCCTCTGGTCTGAAGAGTAGCAACTCACCAGGCTGTTATATTCCTTTTAAGAAAAATCTTGGATGAGTGATCCTTGGAGAACAGCCAGACAATTTTATTTATGAAATTAACACCTTTTACTCCAGGCTTGCATATGGCTTGAGATAAAACTCAAGGTAATATTAGAGAGGGTAAAAGGGAGAATCACCCTCAGTAGTTATGCATTCTACAAATTACAAACTACTACTTCATGGCAACATCCCAGGGAGGCTTTGAAAGTTGTTTAGGAAGTTGCAAATATCACATGGGAAAGCACAACTCTGGCAAATTTGCTTTCCTGTACTGTTCCACCTGTGGTGAGCACATTTAAAAGATGCTGCTTTTGACTTTTATATTGCTTGCTCATTAAAGGGATAATTAAGAGTATAAAGAAAAAGGAGTAAAAGCAGTTGGCAGATGAATCCCTGACATTTTAACATTAATTAGAAATGACTTCATTCAGCAAACATTATCTCCAGGATCTCAGACTTAATGAAGCAGTTCTGCTGAAAGTCACATGCCAAGAAAGGCTTTAGTGCAGGTTTTGTGGTCCTCTACTAATGAGATTTCATTGTGTGAACCTTTGCCTTGAGATAAAGCCAGGACCTTGCCTTTGGGGGTTGGACTTGATGATCTCCAGAGGTCCCTTCCAACCCCTAACATTCTGTGATTATTGGAGAGAACAGTTAGTTTTAGTAAATCAGAGAACATTCTCATGAAATATAAAATGAATTAATATCAGAAAGTTTAACCTGAAAGTAAAACACAATTTGCAGATGTTTTGTTCTTGGGGACACTTTATTCGTTCCACTTGCATTTACCATGTGCTCAGAAAATCAGTTGCATTCAGTACTCCTGGGTCTTTCTGAAGTCACTTCAGAACTCACTTCACCTATATTAGAAGCCAGGTTCTTAAACACCAAAGCTCCTCTCCACATATATGCTTAGCTAGGAGATCATAAGGTACAAAGTGATAATCGATCAAAACTTTTCCTGTTTTCCCTAAAGCCTGCAGTTGCTGGGTGCTACATGATGCAGGGATGTTGTGAGTGAGCTGTGGCAACTCCTCACAGTCAGGTGGCCCTGGGTTTTTTCTTTCTCCTCAGCTTTAGTTGTCAGCCATCACACTGGGGCATGAAAACCCTAAAAATAGTGAGAATGGAGCGTGCAGTTTCCTTAACTGAACAAGGACTGTGATACCACCTGTTCTGTGTGAAACCGAGTTAACAGACCCTCAGGAGGAGCACTTGAAGTCCTAGCTTGGAGTATATTCAGTGACAGCTGGGTATATAAGCATCTTAGATACTTTAATATCACTGCATGTAACAGAGGTGTGATGAGAGGACTCTTCCCTGAGCTGAACTAAAGGTTGCTGCATTCAGTGTGTTGCATAGGAGGTAGTCTTTGGTATCAAGACCCAAATACCATCCAGAGTGATTCAGGCTGCTCTCACCAGGAATGTCATCTCTTCAGAAGAATGTTTCCTGATAGATGCTTTCCTGCTCACTGCCAGGAGGCAGAAAAAAGTCCCTTTTTGTGGAGCTCAGCTGCCAAGTACTACCAAGGTATGACAAATCTGGGTCTGAATGTAGCATTTGGCCATGGTACCATAAAGGCAATCTCTTGATGGACTGCACAGTGGGTCAGAGATTGGATGGACATTTCTGTCAGGTGTATTAGCCAAAACAAGTGCAGCACGTGTATAAAAGCAAAGGAATTGTCTGCTTGTTTCAAGCTTATGCCAGCAGTATTTGAAAAGGCAGTCAAATGGAGATTTGAATCTCACTTTAGGTAATAAATTTCTTAAGGAATCATAGGAAATTGAGTTGAAAGGAATTTAAAAAAATTACCTAGCTCACTCCTCCATGGATAATATCCACCCCAATCCTGTAAGAATATTCACCTGTGGATTTTGCTATTCCTTTGGATGCTTATATAGCACCTTTAGCAGAGATTTGGCCATAGAAATCAAACATTTTTAATTTTCATGCCCACCTCTGTCTAAGCACTTAATAGTTCCACCGAAGCATGTCCAGACCTCTGCCTCTCCCTATAGAGTCAATGCAGTGAAAAGCATCTGTAACTTCAGCTGTAACCAATAGATTTTTAATAAAACCTGTTGTATGAAATACATTTGGAAATGCACACAAATGGTTTTAATGTTGAGAACCATAACCTGCAGCTGTGGTATTTCTACAGACATTTCCACGACAACTCCACTTCCCAGTCTTGCAGAGAGTTCTAGACTGGCAGAGCTCCTCTTTGTTAATAGGAAAATAAATGCCATGACCATGGGAGTTTCTTAATGAATTTCTAGAAGCCTAACTAGCCTTCGTCCATCCTGAGTCATATTTGTGAATTACACCTTTCTGCTGATTGTGGCCAAGTCCTGGCTTATTATGAGAGAAAGAATGAAGCCTTTGCCAATAACTGCTTGGTAAATCCACCAGGAGCTTAGAGGTTTCTTTCAATTTTTGAAGTCACCACCAATAACGTGCAGTTTGCAAGGGCAAGTTAACAGAAACAGAGATTTACACAAAAAGACAAGATATCATCATTAAGAGACAGCACACAAGCCATATCCCTCCTTCCAGTTTTAAACCATATGTGAGGGATCTGAGGTGGCCAACCAGCAGAGGAATGAGAAGGTTGATATATTCACTCACGGTGCAAGGTGAATTGAAGACCGAAACAAACAGCCAAGGAAGCAGGTGACCAGTCCAATTCCAACTGCACAGCCATGACCATAAAATGGTGCCATTATTATGGATAGACTTATTCCTCTGCTTCCAGCCATATCAAAGTCCTACCACTACTGAGGGCTCTGCCTATAACAGGCAGCTGGGGCAGGGTGTGTGTGTCCTTTGAGTAACTGGGAACCATACACAGCACATTCACTAGACAGGTAAGCACCACCACAGGTAGAACCAGCCTTTATGCTGTTAGCTTCTAGGCAGGACACCTGATGTTAATGCTGAAGGCAGGGGCACCTGGTGGAGATCTCCTAGATGGTTCCCACCCAAGGCTGGCCAGGTCCTGGGTGAAAACCAATCAGGAGGGTCTTTCCTGCCTGGTTGTGGACATCATCCATATGTCAGGCCTGATTCAGGCCTGGAGGTTTAAACCCCAGCACTTCATGATGTCAGGAGGAAAAAACTAAGAAAAAGTAATAAAGAAATAATTTTCAAGTGAGATAGGATATTTGTTTTTCTGTGATCACAGCCAACAAAGGCACACGGCTGTATTAGCTGTATAATTTACCCACTGAGGCTAGACATTTACAGGCATCAACACCCCAGTTCCCATGTACAATGAGAACACGTGGAGACACCACCCTGGTCAGCCACCTTCTTTTGGCTGCCCACATGTTTTTGCTCTGTGTAAGGCAGAATCCCTTCACTCCACAGCCATCCTCCAGATGTGCCCATGACCATGTGTCCACATTGCTGCTCCCTGTTAGGAGTGCAGTGGTAATTGTACCCCCACAGCCCCACAGGTACACAAAGCCCTTCTATAGGAGCAGTTAAGTCAGTCATAGACTGCTCCTAAGAGCTTTTCAATTTTTAACTGCTAACATCCTCTAACGAGAAGGTCCAGGAAAAATTTTACAATGCATGCAAAGAAACTGACCTATTTTCTTCCAAGATAAAATGATATATAGATCTGTATTGCAGTTAAACAAGAGATCTTCTGGAGATATGACTGGTGTGTCCACCCTTAGAGAAGCCCCTCGTCCTATACAGATGAGCTGCAGTTACCAACTGCAGTGTCATTAACTTCAAAAAAG